ATTTGCGACCCATGGAAATTGGATCTTCTATGGCCCTGGATCTTCTCTGGTATACTATCCCTTTATTTCGGCCAATTTCTACTATTTTTCAATTTCTACTACTATTTTTCCAGCGATCCGTGGAGCCTGGTAGAGGCTAGCCGTGGCCCTGAACTGACAAGATCGAGCTCGGTTCCATCTGTGAGAAGTCGAGCAATGACAGGAGGAACAGTCAGGAGACAGGAAATTAAAGCCTTTTTTTTAAACCCCATCCGAGTATTCCGGTCTAGACCGCATGTCAAAAGGTTCCTGTGCTGTAGATATGCGATCTGGTGGCAAGCATGGTTTTCTTTCAGAAGTGTCAGTCAACTTCATAGTGGAATTTCTGAACTGATGCATGACTAACGCCCACGCCCAATCTGACTTTTAGGAGGCCCTTTGGTCTGACTATACACACGGGAAGGGAAAAAGACGAACTCAGAGAGGGGAGAAAGAGAGCCTTTCGTTACAGAGAGTCGCCTCTGGTTTTGGAAAAAAACGGACGGCCACCTACCACCCTTCGAGGTTTACATATCATATAGGATCCTTTACAATTCGTCGCATTATTCAAAGACGATATGTACAAAGAATATATCAATGTGAGATTATTTCACATTCCACAATGTTGCGAAATAACACAAAGTTGCGGAAAATTCTGCGAGAAAAGTTAAACCTATGTTTATTGGCGCAATGTACGAAGGATGTCTCCAGTCTTTTGTTTTGGTTCTAGGCATGGGGGTGACTGTTGCTCTGTCGGTTGTTCGTGGAGCAGTGTCAGGAACCAGGTCGTGTAAGGGACGATCGGGTTTCAGCATAGCCTTGAACAAACACGCGGTCTCTCTCCTCTGCATTAGGACGATACAAAAAGCAAGTTTTCTGGACATTTCTTTTCATATGAGTCTCATATGAGCACTAATATGTTGAAATGAGAATCACATTAAGATTTTGTTCAATAAAAGAGATAAAATACATCAATTTTTGCTTACACGCCTGCGTGGCCTGCATGCCTCCATATCATTGCCTGATGGACCCAGTCTCTGGGGAAATCAAACCTCTGGACCGAATTTCGGGGCTAATTACCTTCCAACCGTGTACCTCCAAGGAGTTTGTTTGTACCTCCTTGGTACATCTTGTAACATAGGTAGGATTCGGAGCGCGAAGTTCCGAGTTAGGCCCCGAGTTCCGTTGACTTGGGCACGCTAGTTTCTTAGAAAGGCCTGAAACGTCCATATAAGGAGGTAATATACAGTATCCACGTGGGGAAGTTCCCCTCGATGACAGGAAGTGACTCAGAGCAAAGAAAGGATTCCCCCCATCACCCACTGGGCAAAGATGGACCGAACGAGAATAAACACGGTACATTGAATTTTTTCCCATCAAAATTGAGTTTAGTGGAAAAAAAATCATTGCAAAAGAGAAACCCCGATAAAAAAGCCTAAAAAAAAACACGCTAAAAATAACCCCAAACCCAAACCTCTGCTTTGAGAGTATAAAGGCTCAACTCTATTGATACTTCTCATCTTGTCAACAATTTTGGTCAACCTTGATCTGACCTTGTTTACCTGTTTTTGAACTTGAAGGTGTCGCAAATACAAAAGTAACGCCCTCCTTCCGAAGGTGTCTCGAAATCCGTCTCAACCACTGATCTAGAAAAAGGGACTGTTGCCAAGTATAGTGTATCTCTCATTACGTACCCTGAGGTTAACCTAGGTGGACGTGTGATCCAGCCGCCACACCAATTATTCCCTTATCCTCTAGATGACCTCCTCAGTGTTGGAATAAATACGATTAGATATGGATATTAAACCTTAAATCAAATCAAATCAAATCAAATCTATCTTCACTCCGTGATACATGCACACGGCTATGATCAGGTTTTTCATGTTCGCCAACATGCACTATCTAGAAAAAGGCTGTCTTCACTTGACAGATGCATAAAGGAGGGCTTGAAGCTTCTAACGTTATATATTAAAGTTTACTGATGTCACCTTTTGTTGGCCGTAAGACAAATAGGTACTCTCCAAGCATAGGTTTTTATATATTGCCCTTTTTTTTGGCGCTACCCCTACATAAAAAAGCAATCAACCCCTGCTTGGAGAGTACAATACAGGCAAGACAATATCATTGGCATGGCAGTATCCATGAAGTTTAGCCGGCGGAAAAAAGATACCAGTACAAAAAGAAAGCATGATAAAAACGCCTGAAAGTAAAACACTCCAAAACCTATAGCTAAACAGCTCTGCTTGGAGAGAAGTAAAGGGCTTGAAAAAATGAAAAGCATTCACTTCATATGTCCTTTGGATATGAATAGCGCAGACCCTACTGACAGGAAATGATTCAATTTAATACCTTTTTCTCCCTGTACCTTGGAAAGGCGTTTCTCTTCATTCAGACCGCTGATGAGCTAATCTCAGTGACGCACAAAGAAAGAATGTAACCCTGACTAAACAGATGAAAGAAGCTTCCATTCACGGTGTAATGACACAAACCACATACTAGTATGTGCTGAATCATGAAATTCAGAGCGGGGTTTCCTCTTCAATTTAATACCATTTTCTCCCTGTTTCTTGGAAAGGCGTTTTTCTCATTCAGACCACTGATGAGCTATTCTCAGTGACGCACAAAGAAAGAATGTAACAGATGAAAGAAACTTCCATTGTGTAATGACACAAACCACATGTGTGCCGAATCATGAAATTCAGAGCGGGGTTCTCTCTTCATGTGATAGCTCTACCAGGCTCCGCGGATCGCTGGAAAAATAGTAGAGGCTAGTGATAGCGACCGATCACAAAGCACCACCCACCTAGCGTGGAAAAAAAACGTCAAAACGGATTTGTTTCAGAATAGAACTTTATTGCACGACAATTGCACATGGTACAATGTATGGCAAACTACATAAGGAGAGTAACAACAATAAAATAAGTGTGTTGAATACGACCTAATGTCGAATAAAACCTAACATATCTATATCATAATTATTCAGAAGAGGTCAACTGTACTCTTTGGCGGACCAACTCCTCTGGCGTATTATTTGTCTATTTGGCCACTATTTGGTGCTTCCCGAAGCCTGGTAAAGGCTAACATAGTAATAGTAACAATAATAGTACGATAAACGTAACGAGTAGCAACACCAATCTCCACCGACACTATTAAAGTATCATGTTTATATGTTGTTGTTGTGGCGGCGGCTGGAAATTCAAGGTGTTATATTTAACACTTTGGTGTTAAGCCTAATCTTGTCAACAATCTTCTTATCACCTGGACTGGCGCCACAGTGAAAAAGGTGAAGAAGCAAATAACTAGTTAACGTTAACATCCGTGTCCATAATATCACCAGGGTCCATAATATCGCCACCTTGAGAAATAGTGTGCTTTAAGATATTTTTACTGCAACATACTTTTGGTATGCACTCCTGCAGACCTCAAATGTACATACCTAGGGTATGTTGCAGTAAAAATATCTTAAAGCACACTATTTCTCAAGGTGGCGATATTATGGACCCTGGTGATATTATGGACACGGATGTTACATGTAACAAAAAGATAAGAAGGAAGCCGCAAATTAACGTTGCATCTGTTGACTGTTTCTTCATCGATGTTAGAGTTCTAAGAATGAAAAACATATAAAAATGTTTCAAAAAGCCTTCATTATGATTCCTCACTTCAGGCATGCCTTCAACGAGGTTATGAAAGACAACACTGACAACCGTGAACTTTTCGCTGAATGACAAAGCGCCGACCAATCAGATGGCTCGAACAAGTGCGCAGAAGCATGTTACACGGAAGCCGATTGGTCAGACAGGCGTCAAAGGTTGCTGCAGGGCGGGAAAACCCCTGACACGAACGTTCCAGGGATCAGACGACAGCAGGGACAAAGACTAGCCGGATCGTGTAGCGCACGAGACTTACCGTGAACTCTCTGTCTGCCGCCCGGGCCTTGTGCTGGATGCAGCAAATGGTCCTAAAGGTTCGTAGCATCCAGGTGAGCCGACGCTGTCTGTT